GCATCAATCAAAACGCAAAATTTCCGTTTGAGCAAATATATAGTTGAATAATTAATTAAAGATTAAAACTTGCATATAAATCCAATAATTCATATTAAACAAATTCTTCAAACTTCAAAAACATCGATAGAAATACCATATCTTATTAAACAAAGCTAAAAAATTAATCAAAGATTAAAACAAAGTTGATAGATAAACCTTGAAGATTGCTTGAATAAGAACAAAAAATCTGCCGAAATTTATTGACCAAAAATCAATATTATAGCAAATGAAGAGAATGGGATTGCAACGATGGGATCCACGAGAAATTTTGAGGGTAAGCAAATCAAGTTAATTATGTTTTGGTAGCAATCGATGATGAAATTAAGCCGAATGAAAATTTCTAGAGGCAAATACAAAGGGTATGTCATGAGGTTTTAGATTTAGGCTTTTTTATTTTTTTATTTTGTTAAAAAAACTCTATATTTTTCTCTCTATATTTTCATTTATTTATCTTTCACTTCAAATTTATTATTTTTTTTGTAGGGACTAAAATTATAAATAGTATAAGGAAAATTTTCCCGAAAATTATTAACCTACAATATGTCAAATATTTTTTGTCTGCAAAAGATATATCTTGTCCATAATTTTGTTTGTCTAGAAAAGGTAAAAAAAATTTTGGGTCAAGGTATTTTAGTATTGAAAAACTTGAAATAAATCATAACCCTACAAAAAATCTTTTTGAGGGAAAAAGTGAATTTCACCTACAAATCTTAATTTGTCAATGGAAATTTTGTAGGGAATGACTAAATTTCTTGTAGTGTATACATTGGTTTTTTGATTCATCAATAGATGAAGTCAATTTGTTTGGTCAAATATCTCGATGAGTTGGGAATTTGAGAATGAGCGGAGTAGAGGAATTCGTGTCAGAAACCGTCACTCTAAAAAATAGGTAGAGTGATTATTTAAGTATTTGCTATTGAACAGTTAAAATCTGAGCTCAGTATTGTTGGGAACCTACTTATACATGCACAGCGGAATTTAAAATAATTTTCGATTCCCACCAAGAATCGCCTTTGTGTTTAGATAGAAATTGTGATAAGATTGTACCTTTTCCAGATCTGTAATCCTTTTGCTTTTCTTTTCGTTCCACAACTTTGATTCGCCACCACAGCTGTCCAATTGTCCAGCCTCCAACGATGATCCACACAGAGAATATGATTGCAGCCTCTAGGGTTTTCTCTTGTGCTAGCAAGAATAATGAAAGCCTTATTGGACCTCAAACCCTAGTTATGTATTTATATAAACCCAAATAGGCTCGGTCCGGTCCGATCCAATAATTAATTAATCCAATTAATTAAACCCGGTCCGTGAATTAATTAATCCAATTGATTAATTCGAAAATATAAATAACAAATCCAATTAATTAATTTATCCAACGATCGTTAAATTAACCAATTGACAATTTACAATCTTCTAATTCTCTTTTGTGTATGACCCATTAGGTTCCCGACCACGATGCGTAACGACGTGAAATATTATTTTGATCTAATCAAAATTGATAAATTAAAACATCCTTTTAATTTATCGTCAATTCACATTTGCCGTCCCTGATTGACATCTAGTAATGTGTCAGGACAATATATGTGACGGGAAATGTCACGTGGTACGACAAAACCAAATTCGTTCGTTTACCGTGAAACTATAATCACTTCGTCAATATGATCCGATCAATTACGAGATATGGAGTTGTGTCAATCTCGATCATCGATCATATCTTTCACTCCAATATTAAGTCAATACAAGTCGAAAACTCCTTTTCGACTTATGAGTACACCTTGGCCAAGGATTTCATCATCGACTTAATTGAATGAAACGCAGATCATAATCTCCTACTATTTAAGAGTGACGAATCCTTTATTGATTAATTACAACCTTCATACGATTCTTGACATACCCGAACGATATCGTATTAGCGGCCCTTTTCAGAGCAACATCCAACACCGCCAAAGTATGACTGTCCTCATATAAGGTACTATGATGACCTCAAGTCAAAGGACCAATTCCACTATCGAACGTTAGAGATTAACCACTGACACTCAGATAGTTATCCATGTCGAATCTCTCGACGGGTCTCCAATGTTTTGTTCTATAACAAAAACATCCACATGTTCATTTAAGTGTCACCACACTTTACCTTGTGAGATCAGTTACTTACTTCACAAGTAAGAAATGTCACACGTGATGGTCTATCCGTAATAACGATATCCGTATCTCGTTATTACTTACGACCACGGATGATTTAAGATTCAATCAGATGTAATTTGTATCTCACAATCACAACTCCTTGTGATTAACAAATTACAATTATTTGAATTTACGGACTCTATTATTTATTTAATTGTCTATTAATTAAATAATAGATCTGCCATTTAATTACATTAATTATATATAAAAGTATTTATGTCCAAAGTTGATTGGACCTAGGGCATAATACTTACAAGTATTTGGTGATGGCTACACTTCAACATCTGTGTTTAGTTTACTGGATCGTTGAGGAAAACGAAACTTAAGTTGAATTATATAGAATTCAATTATTGTTTGGATTGCTACTTTTGGATCCTTGAAGATTTTGAGCTAAAGATTTAGATTAGTTATTGGGCTTTAGTCCAATTAGTTTTTCATTTAATTCTTGAGTCTTTTTTTTTGCCACATATAATTGTTAATTTATTGCTTTATAGATGCTTTAAATTATTATTTGAAATATTGTCATTCAAGACATCATAACATATAGATTTATTTGTGAGCGATAATACTATGAATATTATGTATATTATTAAACACTGATTTTTCTTTGATTAATTTAATTTGAATTAAATTTTTCTGGAAAGAAAATTTGTAATAATTAAACTGTATATTAATTTGATTAATGTGAAAAGTTGATAATTATTTTAATTTTTCTTGATTAATTTAATTTAGATTAAATTTTTTTGGATTGAAAAACTGGAATAATTAGATTTTATATTTATTTGATTAATATGAACAGATTATGATTATTTAAATTTTCTTTGATCAATTTAATTTAGATTAATTTCTTCTGGACAGAAAATTTGTAATAATTATACTGTATATTAATTTAATTAATGTGAACATTTGGTAATTATTTATTATTGAAATCTATCACCTAAAAATATTGAGTGGGAGCGAGTGTTTATTTAAATAAAAATTCATGGTCTCTTTTGGTCAATCCATAAGCAAAATAACTTGTTTGTCTCGTGCCAGTAATGCAACAGACTCTCTATATGAGAGCCATGTAGTTCAAGTTGCTTGATTGGATTCCTTCACGATAAGATCATCTTGATAAGACTATAATTTGTGATGATCTTGCATATAGTGAAATTATTTTTAAGTATCTAGAGTTCTAGACAAAGGTTATACATTCAAATCGAGATCATTTGCGAACCTCCTATAGATGCTCTCGTTTATGATCTTAATGACCAAATAAAACGATACTGACTTATATAGATATTTGTTATTAGATATGGTTTGTCTAGTGGGAGGATCCCAACTTGATCAGTCGACACAGTTACCTTCCCTATAGAGAGGCCTGTTGAATCACAAGGATCGAGTAATCGTTGCATTATTATAGTTAGATAGATCTACGTGAGCATTCATACATTATATGCTAAATTATTATTTGCTATTCAATTTTAATATACAATGTATGATTATTTTTATGCGAAATATAACTTGGCCAATTTTTTCGTTATTCTAAAACAAAGCCAACTAATTGGAAAAAAATTATATGGATTGAAAACGTAATTGCTCAATGTGGAAAAACTTAATTTTGTTTTTAACGAATATTCTGATGGATTTTTTAAGACCACGTGACAAGTCCAAAAGGCTGGGTATATTGAGTGGGAGATCACAGACAAGATGTCTAGTTGTTTCATTTTGACTTTGATGTCAAACGTGTTACGATAAAGACTTGAAAGTCACAGTACCTCTCATTACATACTAGAGACCCTTTAGGGCATGTTTGGCCATCAAAGTAGGAATGCTATTTTGAAGTCATTTGTACCTTCTAGAACATCTGCATGAAATCCAAAGTGCTTGGAAAGTTTTATAGTTTGACTATGATTGCATATTTCAAATATGGCTAAGAGTTTCGATGCAAACATCTATCAATGATATTCAATTTTTGACATGGTATTGAACTCTTTACCTGATAATTTTTCATAGTTTACTATGGATTATCACTTACACAAGATGAAGATACCATTGACTAAGTTAATGATAGAGTTGTAATGTGAAAATAGTCTTAATGGTACAATGGCGATACTCATGCATCATTTGGAAAGAAGATGAAGAAAATCTTGAGGCACGTGTTCCAACTACGATCGAAAAGGATACTGAAGAAAGACTACCCAGATACACCAGCTAGAAATCAAAGTGCGAGTGATGCTTTTCCTTACTGAGTATTATTTAGTGGTTGATACTACAAATTCCCAAGTTGTAGATTTTGGAACCACTAATCATATCTTTATATTTTAAACTATTCCACATATGAAATAAAAATATTACTCTCGTATACCTAAAATGTCGCACCATACTAGTGATACATATCTATGGCGTCTTGGACAAATCAATCTTAACAGAATATAAAATTGACTAGAGATGGTCAAGATCGAACCATTGTCAGTCTGTAATTCTTGTTTGAAAGGTAATATGACTAAGATGTCCTTTTTAGACAAAAGGATAGAGCCAAAGATATATTGGAACTAGTGCATTCTGATATGTGTAGACCTGTAAATACACTTGAGAAGGGGAACTATGATTATTTATTTATATATGATTACTCTAGATTCCAATACATTTACCTAATGTCTTGAAAGTAAAATACTTTTGAGAAATCAAAAAAGTATAAGACTAAGGTTAAGAAGCATTTGGGTAAGAGTATTAACACACTTTGATATGATCGAGGTAATGAATACCTCTCAAGAGAATTTAGGGACATCTTAATGGAAAATTGTATTGTTTCTTCATTGAATAAGCCTAATATACCCAAATGGAATGGCGTTTTAGAGAGAAGAAACGCGACATTTTTAGATAAGGTTAGATCAATGAAGAGTTTCACAGCTTTAAATATCTCATTTTGAAATATACGCCGAAAACATTTGGATATATTCTTAACTTAGTTTCTTCTAAGTCTGTTCTCAAGACTTTCCTGAAATTTTGGAATGGATTCAAGTCCTTCTTACATCTCAACCAAGATTTTAGGGGTCCAGCACATGTGCTGAAAGAGAGGGCAAAAAAGTTGGAGACTAGGTTAGAGATGTGTCTGTTTGTGGGATATTCTAAAGATACTAAGGGATAATTTTTATAATCCTCTAGATATGAAGGTTTTTATTAGCACAAATACAATCTCCCTAGAGGATAAGTATATTAATGATCATCAGTCCAAGAATAAGGTTGTGTTGGAAAAAATGAGCAGGAGCAATTCTACCTCATTAACTCCTGGGACACAACTTGGGATAGATATCACATGGTGTCAAATAAATTTGGGCAACTTGATCTCAGTGGGAGAGATGATTTGTCATATGATCCAATAGATTAATAGAACGTTGAAGGTAATGAGGAGCTAATGGTGTCACTTAATGGTAATGCCAGCATTGATGAAAATATTATGTTCCAAATGACGCCATAGTCTTAGATCAATCATCCCTTAAACAAAGTCGGAAGATTATCAATTCACCTTCGAGGTACTTGTTGAGTGGAGAGTTTAATATGGTAACTTCCATGGTACAAGTTGATGATTTGACTTCATATGAAGAGATTATGGATGATGTAGATGCAATGATCTATTTATGAATCGAAGTAGAAATCGAGACCTTGGAAATAGAGATTCGACAAAGTAATTCAGACATTTGATCTTAATCAAAACTTTGATGAATCCTGTATCTATAAGAAGATAAAGATAAAAATGTATTTTTCCTAGTGTTTATGTAGATGATATTCCACTCTTTAGAAATAATGTGGGTGTTTTATCGTTTATGAAACCGTGGTTGGCCTAATAGTTACATATGAAAGACTTTATGAGCTAGCTATATTCTAGTTTTCAGATCTTGAGAGATTGAAATAACAAGATAATAGCTTTGCCCTAAGTCTTTTATGTTAACAAGATACTTGTTAGATTTGTTATGCAAGTTTTGCCCTCAGGCATTGAATCCATCTCTTTAAGGGTCAGTCGGCGAATACTTTTGAAGAGATTGAGTACATGAGTAGGATGCCTTATGCGTTGGTAATAGGTAGTCTTGTGTATGCTATGCTGTGTAATAGCCTTGACATTTGTCATTCTATTGGTGTGGTGAGTCCAGATCTATTTAACCTTAGGATCGAAACATCGAATGACGATGAAAGCATATCTTTTAGTACCTCTGGAGAATAAGGAGTTATATGCTCTTCGTTAGATCATGTTTTGATAGGTTAAAATGATTTGGACTTTCAGAGTGATGAAGACTATTACATGTCTATATCGGTATTGTTGTTTACACTTGATGGTGGGGCCATTATTTGGAGAAATATCAAGCAATCATGCATTGCTGATACAACCATTGATGCCAAGTATGTGGTAGCTTATGAAGTACCAAATTGGCCATACGACTTAGAAAATTCTTTCGGACGTTGGGGTGGTGCCTGTATCTGCACATCCCTTTACACTGTATTGGGATTACAATAGGATTGTTACAAATGCTAAATAACCAGGAGTCATTAGAGGGGTAAACGCATTGAACAGAAATATTATCTCTTAACAGAGATAGTTGGTGGAGAAAATGTAGCTGTCAGTAAGATCGCTATTTGACAATCTTGTAGACTCATTTACTATGAGCCAATTGGCTAAGTTTTTGAGAGATATTTGCAAGACAGAAGGTTGCAAGACATGACACATATACTTTAGGGCAAGTGGGAGATTTGTTGGGTTGTATGTCCATATATTATATTTTGCTATGATTAAATAATTATTTATAATAAACAAGTTGTGATTTTATTTATTTATTGCATTGCTTATTATTGAGCATGAAAATTAAAGTGCCTATGATCACTTGAGATAATATGAGTTGGGTACTTGCTTTGAGGAGTACAGTGTGACATAACTTATATTTTGATCATAAATAATTTGTTCACAACCAATGTATAATGGTTGACACTTTATACATGAAAGTTGTAGTGTTGATCGATTCACTATTTAGGTTTGTGATTTGTCCTTATCACAGAAATAGTTAAAAGGTGACACTAGAACATTTGGAGTGTATTGAACGGACTGCGTGTCGAATTTAATTCTCCGTAATTCTATAGCATGGCCGTGCGGAGAATAAAATTCCACTAGACTGCTATGTATTTCATCTAAATCCATTGATAAGATTATATATATCTTTTCGTGATTTTAATGGTTCTTTGATTCTTCAATGGGTGGAATCAATTTGATTGGTCAAATATTCCGATGAGTTGGGAACTTGAGAATGAATGAAGTAGAGAACATGAATTCGTGTCGGGACCGTCACCCTTGGAAAATGGGTAGAGTGACTATTTAAGTATTTTCTGTTGAACGGTTAAAATTTGAACTCAGTGTTTGGTGAAGGCTAAACTTCGACATCTGTGATTAGTTCACAATAGTTTTGAAGAAAATGAACCTTAAGTTAGCGAGAATAATTGAAGGACAAAACGGTCATTTATACTCGTACCTGATGATCGAATTTCGAACGGGGATAAAATACATATACGATAGGTTAGAGGAAAGTAGTACAAATTTATTAGCTGCTGTGATATTATATATTCCAATAGTTCAGTCTTTCGCATTTAGTAGAAAAAGTGAAGACTGATAATTAGATTGAGTGGTCTATGGTCAACTAGACAATGTCTAACTATTGGAGTTTGGATAATATATATTCGATTAGGTCTTATGGTAGTGTCATGAAGTATTGGAACTTAATTACGGTAATTATAATAGTTTTGGGCCTAATTGTAATTACAATAAAGTTTTGGACTTAGTTGTAATTACTATGAAAGTTGTAAACTTAATTATAATTGTAATTGAAGTTCTAGGACTACAAATGCAATTAAATGTAAACTAATTGGATTTAGACTTTAATTAAAACTCCTACTTGGATTTTAATTAGAACTCCTATTTGAATATGGAATTATTATTATATAATGATTGAAACTTTTCTATCTCTATATATAGAGATTAGATGGAATATAAACATCATACGGAATTATACAACATCATAACAACTAATTCTGTGGCATTCAAATTTGGAGAAAGAGAAAAGGAAAGAAAAGGAAAAAGAGAAATTATTACTTTTCTTGCTTTTAAGTTGTCTAGATTAAGAATTGGTTTTTTGATTTAATTAAAAGAAGGTGTCTATCCACTGTTGCAGTCTTAACTTTGGAGTATATCATAGAAGATCTGGAGGTTTGAATTATCAAGTTCTTGGAATTAAAAAGCTGAAAGTTTGTGATACAAAAAATGGGAAATTCATTATTCAAAATTTATTCAAGAATTGATCTTTGAATTTAGGTAAAAATTCGAATTCTTTATTTTTGATATAGCATACACGTGAACATCTAGACGATTTTTTTATTGAATTAAATATTTTTTTTTTGATTTCTGGATAATTTCGCTTCTGCATCCCAACACTATATACGTATGCATTTATATGGATCTATAAGTATATGTATGTATTCAATTTGCTCAAGACTACTTGCTTTCTTCTCCTTCACGCTTACTTAGCTTGCTTTTGCTCAACAAATACGAGATTTTTTTAGACAATTGTGTAAAATTGGATTTTATTGTCAAAATTATTTGAGGTTTGGGTGCATTGGATTTATGTGATGTGTTTTTCATAAAATTGAAAATTTGTTAATAGAATCAATTGCCTAGTGGATTGGGGCAACAAGATGTCGATAAAAGTTGTGGCAATTGATGCTGGCGATGGTGTGCATTGGTAGGTGGCGACTGGTTTTGATTTGGGTTGGGGTATATGAACTTTTTTTTTCTCCATTTTTATTTTTTATTCAATTATTTTATGTGAGAAATATAAAGTTATTATTCTATCCTTTTCTAAAATTTTTAAAATGTGGTCAAAGTTATTTTTCTGGTCAACTTACGGTGAAATATCAATTTATCATCTGATTACAACGAATTGAATTGTTTTGGACTGTGAACATCACAAACAAAATGTTAGGATAAAAGCTGCGATTCAATGAAAGGTTCGGGATTGCAACAACCATTTTTCCTTATACTAACGTTGTGTCTTTTCTATTATTTTTTTATTATCATGTTATGTCTTTTCTATTACTATTTTTGCTGTAATTTTTAGGGAAAATTGGAGTAGCGGTCCCTAACATTTCACATTTTTGCATGCTTTACCCTAATCTTTAATTTGTGTCAACAAAGATCAATAACCTTTCAGAAATATGCAACTGAGATCTAAATGGATGGTTTTTGACCGTTATTAGACCAAAAGTCAAATGGTTAATTGAATTTTGACCAATTTTAAAAGGTTAAAATGGTAAATTTATATTTTACATAAAAACAATTAAAATAAAATAATTAAATCAAAAAAATTAGAAACATAAACCCAGTTCAAATGGGCATCTTCCCCACCTTACCTCAAAACTAAACTCAAGAAACTGTCGGCCATAGCCACCACCATCTACAAGACTCCGGTTATCGCTACCAAAACCTCCACTCTTCAAGAAATCAAGACCAAAAACTTCACTATATTTTTGAAAACCTTGCGGCAAAGTTGAAGAACAAAAAACTCGCAACTGTTGAAAGATGAAACTCTCGATGGTGACAGCACAACATTTTTAAGAAACTCTCGATGGTGACAGCACAACATTTTTAGAATTGAGTAAATCCAGTTATATGTCCTAATTTCCAATAGTATGTACTAAAATCGAATGGGACTTTGAACAGTTGGCTAAAGGACAAAGGTTGCGATTTACAGTGCAATATAATTTTTCGATTTACAGTGCAATGGTGTTTTTGGGTTTCGATTTTTATGTGTTTGGGCTGGTCGACGGTAATAGTTGTTTTAGAGGGGCGGCTGAAGGAATATACCCTTTTTGGCCGATCAATGGTGTTGTTGGCCCGGCGATGGTCGGCGGTGACAAAGACCTTCTTGGGTTTAGTTTTGAGGTTAGGATGGGATGGGATGGGGTGGGGTGGGGTGGAGTGGGGAAGATAACCTTTTGAATTCAGTTTTGGTTTTTTAATTTAATGATTTAGTTATTTTATTTTGTTTCATTTTATTTTAATTGTTTTATTAGATAACATATGAATTTACCATTTTAACATTTTAAAATTGGTCAAAATTCAGTTAACTATTTGACTTTTGGTCAACTAACGATCAAATGACCTCAGTTGCATATTTTTGAAAGGTTAGGAATCGCTGTTGCAAATTTTCGTAATTTTTATTATTAGGAGTTGTTATGTGGTTTTTATTATTTCTTAAAAGTTTAGGGACCACGGGACAATTTCACATGACATTGTGTGTTTCTTGGCATTTTATGAATAAATAAAGGTGCATTTGGTTTGCGTTTCTGTTTTTTATTTTCAGTTTTAAATTCATTTTTAGTTTTCTGTCTTGAGGGACTATTTTCAAATTATAGAAAACGTGTGTAATTTGTCATTTTAAAAAACGGTTTTTCAAAACAGAAAACTAGAAAATGCGTTTGGTTTCAAATTTTTAGAAATTATTTTATGACATTTATTCAATTAATTTGATTATTTAGTAAAACATAATAATTTTATGCTAATGTATTACCAGAGAATATGTATTTTAAATTTGGTAAATTTACTATTTTTTTCTTGCTACAAAAATAAAATAATAAACAATAAATTTTTAGAAATTATTTTACGACATTTATTTAATTAATTTGATTATTTAGTAAAATATAATAATTTTATGCTAATATATTACCAGATAATATATATTTTAAACTTGGTAAATTCACTATTTTTTCTTGCTACAAAAATAAAATAGTAAATAATAAATTTTTAGAAATTGTTTTACGACATTTATTCAATTAATTTGATTATTTAGTAAAACATAATAATTTTATGCTTATATATTTCCAGATAATATATATTTTAAATTTGGCGAACTTACTATTTTTTCTTGCTACAAAGATAAAATAATAAATAATAAATTTTTGGAAATTGTTTTAAGACATTTTTCAATTAATTTGATTATTTAGTATAACATTAACATAATAATTTTATGCTAATATATTACTAGATAATATATATTTTAAATTTGATGAATTTACTATTTTAAAAATACTGCTGAGCATTCACTGGGTAAAAAAAAAAAGGCTTGTTTGGAACTTTTTTCGCGTTTTGAGTTTTTTAACTGAAAACACTTAAAACAAAAAAATCATTTTGAGTTTTCAATTATAAATTTTTCATTGTTTTCAGAAATGCATTTTTAGAAACGAATGACCTAACACGTTTTGGACATTTTTGAAAACTAAAAACAAAAAACGGCAAACCAAATGCGCTATAGAATTCTTATCAAAATTTCTCTAGGTTTTCATTAATTATTCATTTTTTTGAAATAATAAATTTATCTGTGAGAATCAATTTTTGATATTCGCGCACAAGTATAGATTGTCAAATATGTTATATTCTTGCAAGAATCAACTTACAGTTCATTTTGTTTTTGTTCATGT